CTGTTTAGCGAAATTATTGTCTAGCGTAAAGCATTTCCCCACTGGAATGCATTGAAACCTGTTTAATGCGTTCCAATGGGGAAGAATCATCGTTGTCTAGTGAAGATCAGCCATAGGAAAGCTGCTTTGCGAACCGCCGATCAGCTGTTTAAATTGCTGTCTTGCAAAGCTTAGGTCCCGAAAACACCTGTTTGCGAGCGTGGAGGGAGCTGTCAAAATCATCATCTAGCGAGCTTCTTCTAGGAGTATGCTTCTGCCCACAAATTGTACTCAAGAAATGAAGTAATACCATTTCCCAGGGTTGTCCCGTAGAAGTGTTGACCTACAACCTTGAGTGACATATTCTCTCGGTGTAATTACAGCACATGTCATATCAGGAAGGTAGCCCAGCCTTTTGCATTCTGTCCTGTAGAAGTGTTGAACTACAACCTTGAGTGACATATTCTCCCGGTGTAATTACAGCACATGTCATACAGTGGTGCCTCGCTAGATGATGATAATCTGTTCCACTGAAATCGCTGTTTAGCGAAATTATTGTCTAGCGTAAAGCATTTCCCCACTGGAATGCATTGAAACCTGTTTAATGCGTTCCAATGGGGAAGAATCATCGTTGTCTAGTGAAGATCAGCCATAGGAAAGCTGCTTTGCGAACCGCCGATCAGCTGTTTAAATTGCTGTCTTGCAAAGCTTAGGTCCCGAAAACACCTGTTTGCGAGCGTGGAGGGAGCTGTCAAAATCATCATCTAGCGAAAATCGGTTTGCGAAGCAGGGACCAAACATTGTCCAGCAAAATTCCCTCATAGGAATCACTGTTTTGTGAATCGCTATAGCAATCACAAAAAGTCAATATCTAGCGAAAAAACTGTCATGCGGGGTAACTGTCTATCAGGAAGGTAGCCCAGCCTTTTGCATTAGCTCTCATTATAACATTGCATCCAAAATTGGCCATGACATGAGTCTGCCATAGTTAGCAAGGGTAAGCCTGAGAGAAGATACAACTGTACGTCTGGAAGCAAGAGGGCAAGCAATTTCGGAAGAATGAAAGCAATACAAGGCCATCTACAAGGGATAAAAGCAGGCTTCTCCTACTGCAGACCCTGAAGCCAAGTTGTACAGTATTTATTTTTGGAGTTTCATCCAGCCTCTTCTTCCAACAGCAACATATAGCTTCTCCTTCATGTGTTTACTGCAGACCCTGAAGTCAAGTTGTATTTATTTTTGGAGTTTTGTCCAGCCTCTTCTTCCAACAGCAACATATAGAGCACACAGACAAATAAAGTTTAAACAGCTGGCAACAGCTGCCAAAAAATCCCAAAGCAAGCCAATGAATGAAAAGAAAAGAAAACAAGACCGGGAAAAGGAGTGGCAGCGTAATTCATGTGTTTACTGCAGACCCTGAAGTCAAGTTGTATTTATTTTTGGAGTTTTGTCCAGCCTCTTCTTCCAACAGCAACATATAGAGCACACAGACAAATAAAGTTTAAACAGCTGGCAACAGCTGCCAAAAAATCCCAAAGCAAGCCAATGAATGAAAAGAAAAGAAAACAAGACCGGGAAAAGGAGTGGCAGCGTAATAAGAGAATAATACAGCATCTGTATTTGGAAAACGGTACACACCTATTTCACAGAAGAAAACATGGGATTCAAAAACAGAACATTGAACCAGCCCATGATGGGAAAGATATTTTAGCTTCACAGGCCTCCAAAGCAAGTATCATTTATATACAAACAGAAGTGCAACAAAATGTTGCAGTACATTATTTCCAAGCAAGTACTGTATCATTTATATACAAACAGAAATGCAACAAAATGTTGCAGTACATTATTTCCTAGTCAACGGTTGGCCAGCCTCAATCTTTATGAAAGCTCTATTCCATTAACCACTCCAGTTTTTGTTTTCACCAAGATTCAACCAGCATTCTGTGGTTTGTTGGATGCATAGTGTATGCAAAAGGAATTGTGCAAGTTGTCTTTCTGTATCATTTATATACAAACAGAAATGCAACAAAATGTTGCAGTACATTATTTCCTAGTCAACGGTTGGCCAGCCTCAATCTTTATGAAAGCTCTATTCCATTAACCACTCCAGTTTTTGTTTTCACCAAGATTCAACCAGCATTCTGTGGTTTGTTGGATGCATAGTGTATGCAAAAGGAATTGTGCAAGTTGTCTTTTGAAAATGGTCTTCTGTGTGTGGTATATCCAATAAGGCACTCATGTAAGAGGTTTAATCAGCATACACTTTTGTAGACCATACCCCGTTTCTTCAGATAGACAGAGCAAAGCTGGAAGAGGCAGACACTGTCAGTCAGGCAAGGACTGTCTACCTGGACAACCTTCCACACATCTTAAAAAGTGGACTGCAGTCCATGTTATACTGAACAAACTGTGTTAGCCTTTAAGGTGCCATAAGACTATATGTGACATTGTCTGCAACAGATTAACGCAGCTACTGTCCCCAGTATATGTGACTTTCTCTGCAACAGATTAACGCAGCTACTGTCCCCTCCTGTCCTTTGAAATAGTACCAAAACTGGATTTAAGTAATTGGTTGGGAGGCTCAAAAGTGGGTTGTTCAAGTCTTGGGAGTGGGTTGCTGAGCAGAACTGCCAATAATAGCAATAACATGTTTACATTATTTCTAGGTCAGGGTGGGGGTGGGAAGAGGGACTAACAGCCTGGGCCCAAAGAAAGGAACCTTTTGTTGGTGAGTCCTTGAACATGAATAAAGTTGACCCAATAATGTTGTCTAGTCAGATCATGATTACTCCTCTTTTTCACCCCATGTGTCTTCTCACTCTGCTCTATACACATTTTGAGTACACAGTACAAAAACGACTTGAAAGTTCTGTCGTTTTGAGGAAAATGCTAATTCTCACTAACACACAACAGTACAAAAACGACTTGAAAGTTCTGTCCAAAAGAGTCAGGCACCACGGCTGACGCACGGAAATCAAACTAAAGGTGCGACTAGCATTTGCACACCTTCCCACCACCACCACCTCTCTGTGTCTATACTGAATCTGGGGACTGACTTCTGGTCATACAAGAGACATCCTTTTGAATAGTGGCACTTTGGCTCTGAAATTCTTTCCAAAGAGAGACTTCTTGGCTTTTTTCCCACTGTTTTTTTTCCCAAGAGACTTTTGCAGATAGTAACAAACAATGTCTTCTCATCCTTTGCAATGCTTCACAATGAACACCTGGAGCCCACAACAAAAGAAGCCCTTTGTTCAGAGTCCAGCCAGGTAGTCAGGACCCCTTTCTGATTCCATTCCTTTTCACCTCCCAAAAGTTTCCTAATCCACTCCAGCATCCCACAGTTTGCACTGGTCTGTTTTGGGATCTCCCCCCAGAGCACCCCTTTTTGGAAGTATTTCAGGAAGAAAACCTGGAATTCCACCAAGCTTCCTGATCCCTTGCTCTCGTGTAGTGCCTTTTTGTCAGCATAAGGACTGGCATGCAGAGAACTGATTTCATTGTTATGATATATTGCACATGATTCTTTCCTATGATTTATTGTTTTGTTGTTAGCTGCCTTTAGGGGCCTGCGCATATACAAAAAGGGAATATAAATAAATAAGTGGCTGCAGATGGCACACACATCAATTTAAAAACACACAAACATATACAGCATATGCCCATAAAAGAGACAAGGAAGCATACATCATATTGAAATCATATGACACTATTATGACCAGGGCAAAGAACGGCAAGAATATTGCTGAACTGAATGAAGAATGCAAGAAAGGAGGCTACAGTATTAGAGGTGCTTTGAAATACAGTATCAGAAATGTCTGAAGCAACAAATTTGCTTCAGGCTGTCTCAGAATACCATATATCAAGATTCTTTCTTTTTTGCATTGCAAAATTATAGTGTTACACTACAGTATAAGCCCAGTGTATCCATTAGCTGGAAATAACTGATCTTAAAGATGATCAGGCCATGACATACGCAGCTTGCAACTTTGGAACAACTATAGGAAGGAAATGCATGCTTGGGGACAACAACTGTTGCCAAAAAACGGCAGCCAGGTGTCTAGCTCCCGTTCTGTAACATAAAGCCGAACGGAGCGCATGCTGTGGTTTGATATGTTCTGTGTTTACCACTCAGTAATATTTGCCCTGATGAGCAGAATACTGGCAGGAAGCAGCAGAATTTGAGAACACGGATCTCTAAAGTTCTCAAATCTTGTCTTCCCTGGGCATGGAAAAACTGGGGCCGCCACTAAAAAGTCTCCGTTCTAGATATCCATCCACCCAATGTTTCTTATTGAGGCAGCCCAAGAAAAACTTGGTGACTGATCATAAACGCTGGCAGGTGCACAGAGAGTCCTTTCCATAAGGCTTGAAAGCAAAGTCGGGCAACTCCACAACAGAGAAGGAGCACTCGCCTGGCGAGAAGCCCGACGGCCGACGCCCACTGGGGCAAGGCATTTTGGCGCTGCTGAACTTTGGCAGTAGCTGCAGCTGCTCCCTGCGATAAAGGGAAGGAAGCCCCAAAGGGGTCTTGTGTTCCAGCAGCGTCAAGGCAGGGCGTCTTCTCCGCTGTGGAAAGCGAAAGCTGAGAGGAAAAGGCTCCTCTTTCTCTTTGGTCAGCCAGCGCAACTGAGACAGCATTGGCCCTCACGCAACCCTCCCCACCCCTTCCAAACTGCTGCCCGAAGCAGCAGCACGCTGTAAGAAGGCCTGCCTTGCAAAACAGAACCTGGTCGTCCTGAAGGTGCCACAAGTCTCTTCGTCAGGCTATCACTCCCCACCCCTCTGAGGAGGACAGCCAGGTACCCTCCTCCCCCTCTTCTCCACAGTCAGAGTGGCACAGCCCCTCCTCGACGACCCCCCCCCTTAGTATTGCCCGGAGTCTCTCTTTCGTGGCACACCAGCCATGAGTTTGCTTCCAGTAGGCGCTTCTCTCTCTCTCTCCCCTCCCCTCCCCCAGCTTTCGTCGACCCCGTGGCTGGGCGAGGTCCTCTCCGCCAGGACCGGGCGTGCTTTTTTACCTATGGAGATCTCCTGGGCGAAGGCCAGCGAGATGAGGAGGAGGGGCAGCCCGACGGCGATGCAGGTGACCAGCTTGTCGACGGCCAGCTCCAGCCTCAGGCCCTTGTACTTGCTCTCCGAGGGCTCCTTCAGCAGGAAGTCCGAGAAGACGTACTCGGTGGCGATGTGCGCGATGGCCATGGTGGCGGCGGCGGGGGCGGCGGGGGCGCGCGGCGGCCACTAACAAAAGGCGCTCCGCCGCCTCA